GGGACTGTCCTCGCGTCTCGGAAGACGGCGAGGTGGCCCCCTGGCGCATGCACCCTCGCACCTGGCGTTGATTACTCCGCACCAACGCCTGACAATGAGTCAGAAAGCTCTAAACCCATCCAAATGACATTCTTTGTATCACATGGATGTCTCTTTAGGTTTGTCGGCCCGGCGCCAGTCGGACACTGTGGCCAACCACCGAGGCCCGGCCCGCGCCAGCTCCGTTCAGGCCCCCTGTTGTTCGGGGAGAGGCGGGCGGGCTTAGACAACACTCGCCCCGAGCCGATGGCTGTCGGCGTGATTCCGCACAAGTCACGGGCCGTATGTCGCGCTGCCCTGCCCCCGGAGAAACTCCGGCCATCTTCCCTCCTTTTGGCCCGCCCCCCCCCCTCAGGTGGGGAGAGTGGCTCGGGCGTTGTTGGAACCACGGAGAGACGCCTTTTTTTTTTCCCCCTCACGCGTGCCCCGCATGCTGTGGCCATGCCTCCGCCGTCGTGTGTTCTCCTTTTTCCGCCGCCGCTGCGCCCGCCCGGGGGGCTGTCAGGCGCGCGCCCCGTTCCCGACATCACTCCTCCTCTCCCTGTTTCCTCCTCCCTCGCTGCCCTCCTTTACATCACCCGACCCACTTCCCTCTCCCATCTGTGGTGAACCCTCTGGCTGCCCGCCCACACCTCCTCTCCTCTCCTCCTCCGGGCCGCCGCTAAAGGCCCCCCCCCCCCCCCCCCCCCCCCCCCCCCCCCCCCCCCCCCCCCCCCCCCGCTCTCCCGTTGGCGTGCACGCCCGGCATACCAATGCCGGCTCTCCGGCTTCCCGGGCTCTGGCGGACGCCTGCCCGCCCTGTGGGCGCTCGCCGCGCGCATACACACACACAGGCACCAAGACACGCCCCGGTTATGAACACCCGGGAGCATGTCCACCCCCCCCCCCCCCCCTGCACACTCACACACACACGAACGGTGGGCGGGGGAGGAGAGGGCCAAGATCAGAGATTCCCAGGCCAACGACGCCATCAGCCCGGACGGCCAACTTCCCCCGGAGCCCCCGGCCGAAAAAAACAGCCTGTCCTGGCGGCTCTCCCCGGCTCGGGGTTGCCCCTTCGGCCTAGTTCAGCCGCCTGCCCGCGCCCCCCCCCCCCCCGCAGTTGGACACCGGAGATGGTCAATCGGCGGAGGCAGATTGTACAATCGCGATCGGCTTGGTCACGTGGGGGATCATGCGCCGCTCGGCCGTGATGCGGCACGCCTCATCGCACCCCACTTTCCTCCGGCCCGCCTCCCTGTTCCAGTCCGCTGCTCTTGCTGCCTGTGCCCCTGCACGAATGGGTCCTATATTATGCACCGCCGCCATCATCGGCGGCATGGAGTTCTATGTAAAAGTGAATCTCGGAAAAGTATTGAGGAAGGATGCCTGCCCGCGTGTCTGTGTGTGTGTGTGTGTGTGTGTGCCTGAGAGCGCATGTGCCCATGCGTAGACGCATGGCGGAGACTGTGCGAGGCAGCTTGCCTTCTGGAAGCAAAGGCTCAATGTCTGCATTGTATGTGTGTTTGGGTCTAACAACTCAGAGAGTTGTACATGTGTGTATGTCTATGTGTGTGTGTGTGCACGCGTGTGCGAGAGAGAGAGAGAGAGAGAGAGAGAGAGAGAGAGAGGGAGGGAGGGAGGCGATCCGGGGGATGAGGGAACAAAAATGGATGGACACCCTCCGAAGGAGCGTAGGCGCGAGATGGGGCAGAGGGAAGGGCGTGGCAAGGTGTATGGCTACCCATCTTCCCTCTCCTTGTTGCTGTCCTCTCTCAGCGCTGGGCATTGGCCACAACCCGGCCTCGACGGGAGAACACCACGAAGAAGAGGATAAATCCGACGCAGGCAAAGCCAATTAGCATGGCCGACAGGCCGCCGAGGGCAAACATCGCATGCACGGCCCGGTCATGCCGACTGAGCATGAACTTAACCCGGTCCGAGCAGGCCACCACCTCCGGCAGAGGGCTCGGACTGCCAGGCGGTTCAGGACGGCTACCTCCGGGACGACACTCTGGACTCGGGGCTGGCCGATCATCGGGAACAAGCATGCCACAGCAGTCAAGCTAGGTGTGCGTGTGTGCGTGTGTGTGTGGGGGGGGGGGGGTATGTGGACAGGCACAGGGGTGTGTCAGTATATCATGGACCGTCACATCTGCGCCCGCCGCCCCAACTGTCACACTCTGGACATGGGCGACAAGGGCAGTACATGGGGAGGCACGCATGCGCACAAGGGGACCGCCCCTTGTATGGTCCCCATCATGCACAGCGGCTCCAGGGCAGAAGATTGGCGTCCTGCCGCCGGCACGTACCCTTTCCTGAACAAAACCGCGCACCGGGACCGGGAGTTTGTCCCAGATTTCGCTCATGGTAATGTCGATCTGGGAGATCTCCTGCTGGTAGATGTTCCACCCTGCCGTCAAGCCGACAATGACCGCCACACAGACCATCGATGTCTACGGGAGGGGGTGAGGGGGCCGGGGGCGTCGGCGGAGGTTATCAAACGCACATAGGGCCATCGCTGTTAGGTTCCCCGGCGGACGTGCAAGCGGCCATTTGTCCCCCCCCCCCTCCTGCCCCCGTGCCAGCTGCTCCCTGTGGAGCTCAGTCCGTGCCCCCCTCCCCCGCAGGAAGGGGGGAGGAACCCCTGGCCGAGGCTGAATACACCAAGCATGTCCGTACCAGCAGAATGATCAACAAATTCAGGTAGCGGTTGGTCAAGCGCGCTTCCATGATCATGACCTTGGTGGTCTTGGCCAGGCCGCGGGCCGTGTCCCCGGCATCGGGCGATTCACCATGCAGCAAGGGACCCCCCGCGGCATCCAGCTCAGCCAGGGTGGCCTGGGGGTTCCGAGCGCTGACGGAAACATGATTCGAGCCAGCTTCCAGGGGAGCCACCTTGCGTGCAAGGTACTGCGCTTCCTTGCACATGTTAAGGCCGCCCGGAGGGTTGATCCCGCCATCGCCATCGGAGGGGCGGCACACAGCACCAGGGCCGCCTGCCGAGGGTGCCTCGAAATCCATGGACCCCGACATCATGAGCAGGTCTTCGGAACTATCCGAGCAGCCGGTACTTCCGCCGGTGGACGTGAGCGCCGAATCCACGCCCAGCGACGCCACCGGGGGGAGTGCCCTCCGGACGCCGCCCCGGGGGACCATGACGGTTTTGAGGCAGCCGGCACAGGCCCCAGCCTCCAAGCCCGGGCCGCCCCCGGCAGTGGTGTTGATCGAGAACTCCGCACACCGACACGCCTCCTCGCCGGCCAGGGCATCCGCCTGCTCTTGTGCCAGGGCAGCCCCGTGCTCTTCCTCTTCCTCCTCCTCCTCCTCAAGGTCTGTCTCCACGGGGCACCGCGTGACGCTGGACTCAAGTCGGCGCTTGATCAGCCGGCTGATTTTGCTGATGGAAAGCATGCCCGCCGCGGCCAGCATCCCGCCGACCATGGTCAACAGGGCCCCCATGCGGGCCAGCAGGACAGCCGCCGGCAGGGGCTCCAGCGTTCGATGGCCGAGGGCCGTCCACGCGCCGATGGACATGCACCCAAGCCCGGCCAGAGCACCCAAGGCCAACAGCAGGCGAATGAAGAAGACACACACCCGGTAAGCGACATGGTCCTCCTGCAGACGATAGCGCGATTGCCCGGCGGCCAGGCCCTCGGACAGGGGATGCCGGTCGCCAAAGTACATGACAAACTCGGAATTGAGCCAGAGGCTGTCGCCGGGGCCGCGGCTGCCGTCACCGGCGCCGGTGGCCCCCGGCCCGGTGGATCCACCAGCCCCAGGCGGGAAGTCATCGCCCCCCGGCCAGAGTGCCGGGCTGATGAAGGGCGCCGTGGCGGCCGGCGGGCAGTCGCCCGCGCGGCTGGTTGCACTTCCGCGCCGACTGCGCCCGGTGGATGTGCTTGCCCCGGTGCGGGGTGTACTCGGCGCCCGGGCCGGGGTGGCCGGCTGCAGAAGGGGCCGGCCCTCATCGGCATCACTGTCACACTCGGTGTCGGCCCCGGGCGCGGCCGGCTCCCGGCATGGGGGATGCTCCGCCCAGCGGGCTTGCCCATGGCCAGGCGGCATCTTATGCCCGGGCCCCGAGGTGCCGGGCGGCTGCCCTTGGCGGTCCAGGCCCACATCGAGAGTCGGGCTGGCCAGCGAATCAACAGACGCCAGCAGGGGCCCGGGCGTGGCGGGCGCCGCTGGCGGCTGCGTGGTCGACCCCTTCTCCGGGCTGGCAGTCCGTATGGACTGGGTCAGGACGCTGATCCAGTTTCCGGTGGTCATTGCCTGGCTGCTTGTGGAGGGGTGGCAAAAGGCGAGACGCGGATCAGCGTGCATGCACGGGGCGTCAACCGGCACTCAGGCGTGGTACAGGGGGCAGGGAGGAGGAGGAGGAGAAGCAGCAGCAGCAGCAGCAGCAGCAGCGGGCAGCACCAAAGAACATACCCTTCTCGCAGGAGGGAAGCTCGGTGGCTCCAAGCGGCAAGGGAGGGTCGGTGGGGAGAGAGCACACACACACACACACACACACGGCCGGACACCTCGTCCCCAGGTTGCCGAATCCCGGTCACGAAGGAGCGTATCCACGGGGAGGGCGGCGGGCGAAGAGAGGGGGAGGACTGAAGCCGCCAGGCAAAATGACAAGGCCAGCCAAGGTACCAATAGCTAGACAGGCCCAAGCCCACAGGCACAGCGTGCGTCTGGTGCAGAGAACAGGAGCAGTGAGGCGAGGCACAAAGAAGAGGGAAGGGGGGGGGGGGGACAGGAAGCACGTATGCGAGTGTCCCCTTGCTGCTGTGTGTGCGCCAGCGATCGGGGCCTTTTTTCTTCGTCCCTCCCTTGCCCGAGCCCCCCTTGCCCCCGCCTGCGGCTCTGCTCCCTCGCTTCGGTGTGGGGATTTGCCTCGTGCCTCGGCACAGCTTACACGCCCGCTGTCAGGCATTATACCGGCACGGGCCCGATCCGGTGAAGCTGCCGGCGGCTCGCCGTCCAGCATCGCGGGAGGGCCGGGCGCGCGAGGGGCGCGAGGGGCGCCAGAGAGAGATAATCCGCGCGGCCGACGCCGTACAAGGGGGCCAGCCAGCTGGGGTTGGGGGGAGATCGCGTCTCGATTGTGGGCGGTGCGGGGCACTGCCACTTCCCTCCGACGCCTGCCATGTGAACATGCCCAAGCAGTGTGGCGATCATAGCCCCGGGTGCGTCGTAGCCGGAACCAGGCCGCGGCTTGTGTGTGCGCATGGTTGTGCGAGTGCTCCGTGGCATGGGGCTCCGGAGCCGCGGGGGGGGGAGGGGGGGGGGGGGGGGCGGGGGGGAGGCAGGGGCATCCTCAGTCGCAAATGCTCTCTTCCATGCGCCGAGCTCGATGACGCTCAACGCAGGGACGACCGGGCCCGCGCATGGCCCCAGCATCCCGGCAGAGGTACACTGCTGCGCAGGTACGCCCGTCACCGATCCTCCCGAGTGCTGACGAGAGAATACGAGGTGGGCAAGCTGCGCGGGTATCCGGCTCCGAATACATCCTCCCCACGGGTGGGACGACAAAGACACTGACGAGCCACCTGCGAGTAAGATACATCCGTGCCCGGGGCGCGAGGGGGGGCATCAAACCGTTCATGGCCAACATTCCGCGTGGGAAACCTCGCAGCCCATTCCCAAGGCTATCAGGTGTAACGCCAGGGGGGGGGGAGGGGGGGGCGGGGATGAAGGAGGCAGCACTGGTGTCCTTGAGGAGTTCGGTGCAGCCGCATGTACTCACGGGCGAAGCCGCCCCACCAAGACATTCGGCCATTGCGCCGGCACGATCGGCCGTCCGGTTGGGCAACGCGTGGATCGGGGCTGGGCTCCTCGCGGAGATGCAGCGACCCCCACACATAGGCCCCAGGCCCGGGACCTAGCGTGGAGGGGCCTCCCATGCCCTCCCCCGCCCCCCCCCCCCCCCGCCCGATGGCTCGTCGGCCCCCTGTCGCCCAGACGCCCTGCCCCTACTCGCCATGAGGCCAAGAGGGATTCCCAATTGCATGTGGCATCGAAACGACATGCCTCGTCGGCTCCGACGAGAAGGCCGGGGGCGAGGGCGGGGGGGGGGGGGGCGCGGATCGACCATACGGACACCCGTGTGTGCTGCTGCGTGAAAGCGTGTGAGTCACCACCCCATACGCACAGGCGCTGGGGCTGGGGAAGGTCGTCGGGCGGCGGAATGAAGAAGCCAGAGAATCGGGCGTGAATGCGGGTGACTGCATCGGCGGCGGCCTCCTCCCCCACAACTACATCACCCCGCCTGGGTGGCCCCGTGGGGTTTTGCTCGACGGCGCCTTCAACCCGAAGGGCTGTGCGTGTTCCGTGCGCGTACGTGGGTGTGTGTGTGTGTACGGGGGGGGGGGGCGGGAGGGGGGAACAAGAGGAAGAGAGGGGCAGAGGGGGGCAGAGGAGGCGTGGCCTTCGGTGAGCCTTCGACCGGAGTCCGACGAGCCCGCAGGCGGGGTAGCGCGGGGAAAGGGGCGCAGAGGGGGGCGACGGTGGAGTGTTTTGAATGGGCCTTCCGTTGGTGGTTTTCCTACTTCCCGGGTCCATGGGGCTGCCCGGGGCGCGCGTGCGTATGTGCGTGTGCCTATGCGCGCGCACGCGCGCGCGCGCGGAGAGGAGGGGCAGGGGGTCAGTTATCTCCCTGCTCGGCACATGGCCACGCGCCGGGGGCAGGCTTTTCGCCCGACGGCTGGTCTCGGTCAAGGCTCGCTGCTCCGCCTGACGCCCCGGCCGCGGCTGCAGACCGCCGTGGGGGGGGGGGGGCCAGGGGAGGAGGCCTGCCGGCCTGAGGCGGTGGCGGCTCTCGGAGCCAGCAGCGACAGGAGGATCAGCAGGACGAGGCCCGGCGGTGGCGTCGTGTGCGCCGCTTCCCACGGGCACGTACGTTGGCACTGGATTGTGTATTTCCCCCTCCCCCCGGACACCGCGCAGTGGGGGGGGGGGGGGGGGGGGGGGGGGGGGCAACCATTTCGGCCACAAACGTGGGGCAATTCTTCCATCCCCTGCCGCGCGAAGCCGGGCCCTGCCTGCCAGGAGGGGGGAAGGGGGCACAATGTGTGGTATTTGGGTACATGGGGGGGGGGGCAAGGGCAGGAGAGGAGAGGAGAGGGAAGCAGCGCCCACGCCCCTCGCAACATAAAGGCACTGTGAGGGGCAGGGGAGGAGGGAGCGAGAAGGACCGCGGGCCGGAAAGAGGGAGGGAAGGGAGGGAGAAGATGATGCTCCCGAAGGCTAAATATACAAAACGGACGGTCCAGTCCCTCGCTGCAGAGGGGGGAAAAGAGGGGGGGGAAGGGGAGAGCACACGCCCAGGAGAAGGAGGGGAGGAAACAACAAAGGCCAGCGAAGGGCGAAGATGGCCGGCCGCCAGGCACAGGCCGGGAGGCCACACGCTCAGTAGCGGCGGGACCGGTCATCACGGTACCGGTCGTCGCGGGGGCGCTCATCGCGAGAGCGCTCGTCGCGGTACCGGTCCTCGCGGGGGCGGTCATCTCGACGGTCGTCGCCGCGGTACCGGTCATCGCGACGGTCGTCGCCGCGGTACCGGTCGTCGCGGCGATCATCGCGGTACCGGTCATCCCGGGGCCGGTCGTCGCGGTACCGATCGTCGCGGGGCCGGCCACCATGGCGATCGCGATCACGCTCACGGTCACGGTCGCGGAAGTGATCGCCACGCCCGCCGCGGAAGTCCCGACCACGGTCGAAGTCCCGGTCGCGACGATGGTGGTCACCGCCGTCCGGGCCGCCGCCACCGAAGCCCCCGCGGTGGTGGTGGTGGTGGTGATGATGGGCGTGGTGCCCGGACGGCGGGCCATGGTGCTGATGCTGCAGCCCCATGGCAGCCAGCTCGGCATGGCGCGCGCGAACCGCCACCAGACCCGCATGCAGACGCCCGGAGTGGTGATCCTCCAGACACTTGTCCGAATCGTCACGGCTCAACATGGCCGGGCACGAATCGCACACGAACATCTTCAGCGTGTTGGACGCCACGCCGAGGCTGGCCGCGGTGGCGCTCTCCGCCTCGCGGAGCTCCGCCTGCAGACGGCTCTGGGACTCCTTCAGCACACTGGCCTCGTTGAGGATTTGCAGAGACTCATCGACGAGACCCTCGCCACCGAGGCGCTCGGCCTCGGCCTCCAGCTCGGTGAGCTTCTCGGTGACTTTGTTGTACTCCAGGCGCTATGAACGTCGGGGGGACGGGGGGGGGGGAGGGGGGGAGCGGGAGCGGGAGGGAAAGGGGGCACATCAGGCGGGTTAATACCAAAAGGGAGAGGAACGCGCGGCGAAGGGACCCCACCCAAGGGAGAGGATGGCGCACAATGTCCAGGATGGCGCTGTCCTCCCAGGCGCGTTTCTTGTTGTCGAGATCCGCCTTCATGCGGTTAATTTCACGGTCCGCGCGCTGGACGATCCGACCGAGGTTCTGCAGGAGCGAGTACAGGTAGCCAAAGGGATCGACAGCGCGAGCAGGCAGGGGAGCATCGCCACTCTCGGCCTTCATGCGCGCCGACAGCTCCTCGACCTCCTTCTCATACAGCCGGCGCATGGCGTCCGAGTGAATGTGCGGGCAGCGACCCTCATCGAGGTGCTACAGGCCGCGAGAAAGCCAGGCCGCGAGAAAGCCAGGCCACGGCGTTAGTCTCATGAAAGGGACAGGGGGCCACCACGCGGCACAGTTAACGGGAGGGGGGGGGAGGGACGGGGCGAACGCACGGTGTTGTGGAAGAGCTCATGCGGGCACATGCCGACAAGGTACATCTTGCAGATGTTGTCGTCGGTGAAGTGCATCCTCGAGGAGGACTCTGATGGTAAACGGGGAGGGGAGGGGGGAAGGAGAAAAGTGTCAGAAGGAAGCCACACGAGGGGCAGATGGCGAGGAGGAAAGCGGGAGAGACGCTTCACGCACCGGTGACGCCAATCGAGCTGAAGAGCTCGATCAGCACACGGCGACGCTCGGTGTAAGCCATGGCCGAAAGGGAGGGCGGAGATGGGAAGGGGGGCGAAGAGTGGAAAGCGCTGTAGACCATCACCAGGGAAGGGGGCTGTGTCAGTGGCGAATGTAGAGAGGAGGGGGAGGGGAGCGACACAAAGGAGGTGTGCCCTGAGGCGGTAGTCGCCCCCACACGCGCGGGCACACACACACACACACACACACACACACACAGGTAAGGCAGCAATTGCGCGCACGAACCCGAGAAAAGGAGGGATGCGCAAACAAGGAGGAAGGAGTTGGAAGCAGGCGCGATGGGCAGAGGGAGGGGGGAGGGGAGGGGAGATGGGTGGACACAAGTCCCCGACCGGGGCCGGGGCCGCACTGGTCGCCGGCGGCGCAAATATGAATGAGATGTGCGTGATGATGCCCTATTCTCACGTGCCTCTTCCAAAGGAACGACATTCTCTGAGGAATGTAGCTCAGGCCCTACCCTCGGAGGTACATCGCCATAGCCGAGGTCTGCGGCTTGCAACCACAGGAGGCGGGGGGGAGGCTCTTTCCATGCCCCCGCCGCGAGGCCGGGTGCGGCCGGGAACAAGAAGCGGCATGCGCGGGGTGGTAAATGAAGGGCAGACATTGCGTTCCGCAGGCCGCTGGCTGGGGGCCGGCGGGCGGGCGGGCTGGGGGCGACGGAGCGGGACGGAGAGAGAGCTGGCCGGTGCGGTGGGGGCACAGAGCCATCCCAGCCGCGCCGCTGTGTGTGCGCGCATCAGCGGCCTCCGACTAGCGGAGGGGGATTCGGCGAGAGCGGAGGCCGGGCACACTGGGCCCGCTTCCAAAGTGGTCTCGCTTGGTGCGGCCCCCCCAGAGACCGCCCTGTGGTCCTGGACACACCGGGGCCGGTTTGCAGGCCGTTGCCAGTGGACGGGCTCTGGTCCCCTGCCCTCGAGGGGGGGGGGAGCCGATGCGAGGAACAGGATCGCCCGGGGGTGTGGTTCCCCCCCCTCCCCCCGGAGGAAACCTTCGCAGTTTGTCCACGCGCCTACACTAGTTCCAGAATGATCCTATTGGGCTGGGTTTGCTTTGGCTCGCGCGTTCCTCTCCCCACTCACTCCAGGGGCCTTGCCGGTCCGGCCGGGAAGGAATTGAGCCAGTGAACGAGCAACGTCGGCGAGGGCCCCTCACCACGCATGCAGGTCCGGCTGCAACGTCCACCGGTCCTGGGCCGCAGCCGCTGAGGGGGCGCGAGAGAGGGCCTCGCAGAGCGAGGAAGACAAGCAGGGCCTCGCAGAGCGCGCGAAACCGCCATCATTCCTCCCACCTCGCCCGGAGTCCGGGCTTCCCCCCCCCCCCCCGAGAGGGGGGAGGAGGACGCAGCGGCCCGGAGAGGCCCCGCCCGCCAGGGGGCCCTTGCTGCCGCTTGTCCTGTGAAGAGCGGCCAGTATGGCCCCTCCACCGCCCAGGCGGGCCCCTTACACGGACTCCGATACTCCCCCCCTTGTCATCCCTCCCGATCGACCTGCTGTATCTCTTTTGTCCCCGTGCGTCCTCTCGCACGGAGCCTTCCTCCTCCCCCTCCCCCCTCCCCCCTCCCCCTCTCCCTCTGCCCCTCCTCCCCGCGCTCTCGCTCTGGCTGCTCGCGGCGTCCATCCGCGGCGCGATCTTTCCCGTCCATCTTCGGCTTCTCCCCGATCCACGATGCCCCATGCGGTTGCCCTCGCCCTCCTCTGCGCACGCACACGCACGCACAAGTCCCCGGTCGCTCGCTGACACACTTGCTGGTGACCAGTTTCCCCTGCCCCCTCCCCCTTTTTTCCCATAACCACCCGCCGTCTCCCACACGAGTCCGTTTGGTTGCCCTCCCCCTCTCCTCCCCATGTCCAACGCCATCTCCGCCCTCAACCCCAAGGCCGAGTTCGCTCGCCGTGGCCAGGCCCTTCAGCTGAACATCAATGCCGCCTCCGGTCTGCAGGATGTCCTCCGCTCGAACCTCGGCCCGCGCGGTACCATCAAGATGTGCGTCGTCGCCGTGCGCTCCTGAGCGCGCCACTTTGGCCGGCCACCGATTTTGACCCCTCGCATTGCCCCCTCATTTCCCGGCCTCGCGCTAGGCTTGTCTCCGGCTCCGGTGACATCAAGCTGACCAAGGATGGCAAGGTCCTCCTCGGGGAGATGGTACGCCGCCCCTTGCGCATTCGTCCATCCGCCTGTCTGCCACTCAAATGACACTGACACGGCCCCCCTCCCCGCCCCCCCCCCCTTGCATGCCTCCCGGTGACGGCGCACGTCACACAGCAAATCCAGAACCCCACCGCCGCCATGATCGCCCGCGCGGCCACCGCCCAGGATGACATCACCGGTGACGGCACCACCTCCAACGTCCTGCTGATTGGTGAGCTCCTCAAGCAGGCCAACCACTTCCTGTCCGAGGGCCTGCACCCGCGCCTGTGCACCGATGGCTTTGAGACTGCCAAGACTGAGGCCATCAAGGTGCGTCCCCTCTCCCGCGCTCCCCTCCCCCTGGCCACAGTGGGGATGCTTGGACAGTGTGCCCTGCCCTGCCTCTTCGCCCCTCCTCCTCCTCCTCCGGCCCGGAGGCCGCCAGGCCCAAACACGTCACATATGCCCCTCCGTGCTAACCGCCGAGCCCCTGCCCCCGCCCCCCCCAACAGTTCCTCAACGAGTACCGCATTGAGAAGGAGGTCACTCGCGATCTGCTGATCGAGGTGGCCCGGACTTCCCTCCGGACTAAGGTGTGTCACTGCACGCGCATGCGCCCATCTGCCTCCTGTGGGGCCGTGCTGGCCCTCTCCCTCTCCCCCCTTGCCCTGACGCCGGACATCTTACCCTCCTCCTTCCCCCCCCCCTCCCTCCCTCCAGCTCCACCACGAGCTTGCCGACCTCATCACCGAGCACATTGTCGACTCGGTGCTGACCATCCAGCGCGAGGGCGAGCGCGTGGACCTCTTCATGGTGGAGATCATGAAGATGATGCACCGGACCGACATGGAGTCGCGCCTGGTCAAGGGCCTGGTGCTGGACCATGGTGCCCGCCACCCGGACATGCCCAAGCGCCTGCAGAACTGCTACATCCTCACCTGCAATGTCTCCCTCGAGTATGAGAAGACCGAGATCAACTCCGGGTTCTTCTACTCCTCGGCCGAGGAGCGCGACCGCATGGTTGCCGCCGAGCGCCGCCATACCGACGATCGCGTGCAGAAGGTCATCGAGCTCAAGCGCAAGGTCTGCCCCCCGGGCAGCGGTAAGAGCTTCGTCCTCATCAACCAGAAGGGCATTGACCCGCTGTCTCTGGACATGCTGGCCCGTGAGGGGATCTTCGCTGTGCGCCGCGCCAAGCGCCGTAACATGGAGCGCATGACTCGCGCCTGCGGTGGTGTACGTGTCGACGTGTCTGAGGCGGGGGGGTGGGGGCTTCTTTCCTTTTTCTTCTCGTGCCACACCACACGGCCGGACTAACCGTACATGCCCCCATGCTTTTTTGCTGCACGGGGGGCTGCCCCTCGGTCCATCCCGCAGGTGGCCGTCAACTCCTTCGACGAGATGGACGAGAGCATCCTCGGCCATGCGGGCCTGGTGTACGAGCACACCCTCGGCGAGGAGAAGTACACCTTCGTCGAGGAGGTGGAGAACCCCTTCTCTTGCACCCTGCTCATCAAGGGTGCGTCCGTGGCATCCTCCTGGCCAATATTGACTGTGGTGCCATGCGCGCATGCACACGCGTCGCCCATGCCATGTGCCCTCCTCCGTCGCGCCGCGACACCCGCCCCGGAAGCTGACCGCCCCATTTCCCTGGCCCCCCCCCCCTCTCCTCCAACACCCAACAGGCCCCAACAAGCACACCCTGGACCAGATCGTCGAGGCCATTCGCGATGGCCTGCGCGCCGTCAAGAACACCATCGAGGACAAGTCCGTCGTCCCGGGCGCCGGCGCCTTCGAGGTGGCTGCCTACCTGCACCTGATGAAGTTCAAGAACACCATCAAGGACAAGTCCAGCATGGGTGTCGTGGCCTTTGCCCAGGCCCTGCTCGTGGTCCCCAAGGTCCTGGCCCAGAACGGCGGCCACGACCCGCTTGACGCCCTGGTCAAGGTCCAGGCCGAGGCCGCCGAGGGCCACCACGCCGGCATCGACGTCAACACCGGTGAGCCCCTGGACCCGACCGTCGAGGGGATTTGGGACAACTACCGCGTCAAGCGCCAGCTCCTGCACTCGTGCTCCACCATCGCCGGCAACCTGCTGCTGGTGGACGAGATGATCCGCGCCGGCCGCGCCACCACCAAGAACGGCCCCGACGGCCAGGAGATGGCCATGTAAACACGCACTCGCACGACTTTGTTGTCCATACATGCGTGTGTGTGTGCCTGTGCGCGTCGAGCAGTTTGGTGAGCGTGTGTGTGTGCGCGTGTGTCGGCGGAGTGACAGAGAGAGAAAGAGGCGGGGCGCTAAGATCTCCCTCGCATGTGTATGCCCTCTCCCGATCTCCTCGCCGCTCTGTCCATTTGCCACTGCACGCTCCCTCTCTCTCTCTCTCTTTCTTTCTCCCTCCCCTCGCACATGACACATCCCCACCCCGACCTTGTATATACAGAGTGACCCCGCGCCCACGCGCGGGGTGAGGCGCGCCCTGGCGGCGCAGAGGGAGAGAGACACAGGCGAGCCTCTTGTGTGTATGTGTACGCGCGCGTGCATATGCTGGATGAGAGGACCCGCCTCCCTCCCTCCCTCCCCCCCCCCTCCTCGGCAGCTCTCCTCCCCGGCGCGCGTGTCCGCCCCTCCTCCTCCCCATCTAGGCGCATACCACGTCCAGTTTCAATGACGCGCTGCTCCCCTCCCGAGAAAATACAAAAAACACTAGTGAGAGACGACACACATGGCCATGGGGGGGGGGGTATGGCAGGGGGGGGAGGGAGCGTGTACTACGCAGACTTCCGGCGGGATGGTGAGAGGGGTGACAAGCCCGGCCGGGCCACGGTGTCTCGCCGGGGTGCGGAAATGGCAGGCAGCCCCAGGCCCGACCGAGGGAGACAAAGAGAAGGAGGGGGGGCGGGGCGGGGCGGGGCGGGGCACGCGCGGCGGCGGCGGCAACAACAAATGGGCAAGAAAAACCGGCCGGCGGACGAGGTCCGGGGTGGGAGCATGGGATGTCGGCGCGGGGCCTGGCCACATTCTTCGGCCCGGGCACACAGCCGCGAGCGCGGAAGAGAGAAAAGTGGCTGCCCGCATGTGCAGGGGTGTCGGGCAGGCAGGGAAGAGGACGGCACCGAACGCCGCCGTCGCCGCGGCGTTCGGTGCCCACACGTGAGAGCCGCCGAGGGTCGCTTTTCATGAAGGGAGCCGCACCTGGGCAAGGCACAAAAGCCAAGGGTCGCCGGATGAAAGTACGGATTGCCATGATGGCCCTTGGACGGGGCCCTCGCCCGGCGCGGCAACCCTTTCATGGGCCGAAACCCTAGTTTCGATTTTCAGGCGGGAACATTTCGCCCATGATTTGGGCGTCGCCAAATGCGCCAGGATGTTTCACGCGGGGGGCGCCTTCCCACCGCATGGCTCAGAAGGCGGCCCAAATCTGCCCGTGCGCGCCATGGCGGGGCGAAATTCTGCGCACCATGGCGGGAGTCTCTTTCCCACGATGGCGCTCCCTGGTGACCTGCCGGCGCAGCGCCACTAACCCCTTGGCAGTCGGGCCGTTGCAAAAAAAGAGGGAAAAAGGAAACGGTGAGGAGAGCGACCGGGCGCCGGCCGAGCGCCAGCTCCCGCGCGCCACCTTGCTACGGGCCTCCGCCCAAGGCTCTCGGCTACTGCCAGGCTACCGATCTCCAGCTAACGAATGCTAACGATGTGGGAACGCATGCCCCATGGGGTTGGAGGCGGGGCCGGGCATGCCTTCCGCCGCCCGTTGCCCCCGAGTCGCCAGGAGGAGGAGGAGAGGGGGGTGGACATGCTCCCGGGTGTTCATAACCGGGGCGTGTCTTGGTGCCTGTGTGTGTGTATGTGTGCGGCCAGCGCCCACAGGGCGGGCAGGCGTCCGCCAGAGCCCGGGAAGCCGGAGAGCCGGCATTGGTATGCCGGGCGTGCACGCCAACGGGAGAGCACAAGAGAGAGAGAGAGAGAGAGAGAGAGGGGGGGGGGGGGGGAGCTGGGACCCTTCTCCTTGCTTGGGCTCGGGGTGGACTCCCGTCCGTTCCACGTCCCTCGTCCTTCGCCGGCGTCGCGGGGGCCGGTTGGCCGGACTGAGGGACATCTCCATCATTCGGCTGCCGGTCCCCCCAGCTGCTGGGCGAGGGGCTGGACTGGCAGACGCGTGGGGCGTGCGCGGAGGGCCTGCCGGCCGGGCACAACCGACGGCCATGCGGTTCGGGGTGACCTGCCTCGGTCTGGCCGACCATTCGGCGTCCGCATGCCCATGGCGTGCACTGGACCCGATATGTGGCGACGTGCGCATTGAGCATGCGTGCGCCCCCAAGTGCAGGTGGTACCCCCTGCGCGGTCTAACTCCACCGAAGCGTACACATACACGCACACACACACACATACACACACCTGGGCATTCGGCCCCTCCCCGCTGGGGCACCACAGGCGCTGGGCCCTCCTCCAGGGAGCCCGCCCAGGGGAGGATGTCCCCCCCCCCCCCCCGCCGCCGGCCCTCGCTCCGGGCGTGTGGCCTCCTCGCGCGTGGGCGCGGGGCACGGGAGCCTGGCCATCATGGAAATCGGCACTCCGGGCCGGCGCCCAGGGGTCACCCGCTCTCCCGGGCGAATGGCTCCGGCTCCCGGGGGGTGACTCCGCGAGGGGCCTGCCTGGCTGACGCGCGATTGGCCGATGTTTCTCGGAGATCCATTGTCCCGAGCCGGCAGCCAAAGCCAGCATGGCCAGGTGCTTGCTTCGAACAAAAAGGAAAAGAGCCCGCCAACAGAGGCGCCCGACCTTGAACACCGGCGGGGAGAGCCGGCGCCGCAGAGGCGTGAAAGCCTGCCTCGCCGCAACATGCAACCCCGAGCTGCCGGCCGCCGGCAGAGAGGGAGAGGGCCCCTGGCGGCGCCGGCCGGGGCGCCGGCGCCCAAGCCGACCCTTGGGCGAGTAACCGAAATAACGGTCGGCTGCAGGACGTGCCTCCCGGGTGTCGGTCCATTCCGCGCCTCCCGGCCGATGGACACCTGAGCAGGGGAAGGAGTGTCATGGGCGTGCGTCCCGGCCACGATGCCCCGGGCATTGTGGGGCCTGCCTCGGTCCCCCTGGGGTCCGGTCCTGGGAGACCTTCAGGGACATCGGGACGCGCGACCGTATGTCCATGGACCCGTGTGCCTGTGTGTATGTGGGGAGAGGGGGGGGGGCGCATGGCTGCGCAGCCCTGCGTGTTGGTAAATGTGCGTATGCACACGGAGGCGCGCAAAGGCGCATGCAAGGACACACACACACATCGGCCTGCCCCGCTCTGGCTGC